GGACGCGAACCCCGGGCCCCGCCGGTGGCCGCCCCCGCCGCCCCTCTCCTGCCGGCAGCCCTCCTCGCTGCTCCCCCGGCCCCCGCCCCGCCCTGCCCGCAGCCGCATCTCGAGGGGCAGCCCTCCCGCGCCCCGGATGGAGGAGCCGAGCCGCCGGGCAGCGGATTACACATGCAGGTGGGGTACGGCCGGGGCAGCGCTCCCAGCCAGGGAGGGCTGCGGAGACGGAGAGCGGCGGCGGCCCCAGCGTTGGCATCCGGGGCCGGGGCCGAGGAAAATCGCCCCACGGCTGCGCCCGGCCCCGGGCGGATACAGGCAGGGACGCGCCGCCCGGCCCCGGGCAGCGGCCCGCGGGAGGGGGCCAGGGGGTATCGCTGAGCCCTCCGTCACCATTGGGCTCAGGGACGGCCAGCGGCGCCGCGGGGAGGTGCCGGCGGGTGGGAGGTCTGAGGGCTTCAGGGGAATCCGGGGCGCTGAAGGGTCCCCGTGCCCGGGCTCCTAATTGGAGAGGGAGAGGCGGCGGCGGGAGGGGAATTCTGACAGCGCTTCGCCCTCGGTTTGCGCCCGGCAGGAAAAGAAGGGGTTAATGGTGAAGGGACTCTCGGGGCAGGAGGGCACGAGGGCTGCCCCGACCCACCCCGGCCGCTGCTTGTTACTCCGCTGCTGTCCGCGGATGATCGGATTTTTCACCTTGCGCCTCGCCGAGCGCGGATAGCCCGGAGTGCGAGGCAGCCGTGCGGCGGAGGTGCCACCTCCGGACTGAGGTGGGAGCGCTGATGCCGCTGAAGGGTTTCTGCCGGGAGGGAGGGACGTGCGGCAAACGCCTGCGGGCTCCGTGCGAGCGGCTTTCCTCGCTGCGGGCTCAGCGGCACCCCCCGCGTGCCCCCAACCCAGCGGTGTCCACGCAGCCGTTCCCCAGCACACGGCCCTCCCTGCAGCTCCCCCGGCAGCCGCAGAGGCCCCGTGCAGAGCACCGTGGGGTTCCCGTCCCGGTGAGGTGCCCGGGGCTGTGGCACCACTCGGGGGCTCTCACGGGGCTCGGGCGGGCGGAGGGCGGTGCAGCAGGAGTTGTGGGAAGGGCTGCGCTGCCCGGGCGCTTGGCTGGGGGGATTCATTACAAAGCAGGTGGTTACATCTCCTTAACATAGCTGCTATTGCACACCTGTAACGCAATTACTCCGCGATAATGCTAATTACCACTGCTTCATGTCACCGGAAGGTGAACGGCACGATGGAATGACTTACTGTTCCTCTGCTTTCCCGCTTAAGACAGTTGCCATAAGGATGCCAAAGTTTGTGCCGCTCGCTGCACGTAACAAGTGTAAAACCCACTGACGTGAGCTTTCATTTCAGGGCTTGACAAATCACTTTATAATATCGCCACAATCACACTGTAATTGCAGCGTAATTACAGTCGCTGGATTCCCAAGCAAACGGAGCTCATCGTTGCCCAGCGAGGACTGATGGATGCATGGGGTGCTGCCCCCAGACACTGGCGTTGGGCAGGGTGTGCTGCTGGTTTGTATGGCAGCCCTCCTGGTGGCACAGGATGCAGGCATGGTGCCCTGCACCACAGTGGTGCTGGTGGGGTCTGTCCTGGCAGAGCAGGAATGGCTTTGGGTGGGCAGAGGGCTGTCGTGGCTCCAGTGGGGGGAGAGCAGCGAGCTGGGGACGCTTAACTCAAATCAAACAACCCAAGAAAAATAAAGGGAGAAGCCAACCGAAGGCCATGCCCTCAATTTCATTCCAAGCCCATTTTTCCCCGCACCCTCTCTCTCTCCCCACCTGGGGGAGCAGAAATTGGAGCTGTGGAGGGGAACGGCCGCACGCAGAGCATTCCGTGCCACTGCCACGTGCCCCTGCTCTGCGTGCTGCTGGGGCTGCACCCTCATCCTGCCTTGGGGCCAGCCCTGCTTTCCCTGCCCACGTTTCCAGCAGCCTGATGGGGTCTGGGTTATGCTGTCCAGTGGGGTCGGTGCCATGCTTTGGGGACAGGCAGGCACTGTCCCCCCCCACAGTACAGCCCAGCCCCAGCCCTCCCACTGCCCCACGCTGCTCTGACTTATCTTGCTAGGACCCACAATTATAATGGATTGGTTTCTTGTTTTCTTTTTTTTTTTTATCATTTCCATTCCGTTTCTTCATCAGAATGCAAAACGTTAAATATCGCTCTTGTAATTACGGTTAATTTCATAACCAGCACCTTAATTGGATTGGTCTCCGATGGGGAATTCTCGCCGGAGAGAGAAGCAGAAATATTTTGGCGCAATCCATTCTTCCAGCTCATTGTTGAGACTGGAGATGTCGAGTGTGAAATGGATAACAACCCATGTGGAGCCAGAGGCACCCAGGGGGCGAGGGCAGAACCCGGGCACGTGCACAGCTGCTGGGTGCTCCTCCTCCCACATGGGCACGCTGGGTGCTGCAGGAACCCCTCCCTGCCCATGGGCCGTGCCGTGCCATGGCCGTCCCACAGAGCTGGCGCTGGGCCCTGGGCTGGAGCTGCAATTTGCTTCGGGAAACATGGAATTGTGCTGCCATTAGGTGCTGCCATTAGGCTGATTGGCTGTCACTCTGTTTATCCTTTTCAATGGGAAACGATACAGAAGCCGAACCGAAATGGAAACCCAGGCCTTGCATTTCCGATTTAATTTCCATGCGCTGCGTTTCCACGTGATTACTTTTGTTCTCACATACAGCCCGGAGTGCAGCCTCTGTGTTATTATCACCACCGCTGGGGAGGAGGAGGAAAGGGTGGAAAGCATCGCTTTTCAGCTCAGGCGGAACAAAACCAAAGCACCGCGCAGCGCCGTGCCGAAGGGAGCTCTGTGCCGTGGGGACAGCCCTGCTCTGCCGTGGGGATAGCCCTGCTCCTGCCATCCCATCCCATGGCACCCTGCAGCCGAGGGGTCAGGCTGGGGCTGCACAGACCGGCCCCATCCAGCAGTGTAGGACGGGGCTCCGCTGTGGCTCTGTGCTCTTTGTTTGTATCTAATGTGTTTTATTGTTGGATGAAACAATAACAACAAATAGAGGCCCTGAAGACAAGCCATAAATAATGCAGAAATCAAACAAGCAAGAAAGGGGAAAGAAAAAGGAATTCTACGTGTGAAATCATCACAAAGAAAGCCGGGCTGGGAAGAGAAATCTCTGTGTTCACCATCACTCGCGCTTTCCTTCGCTGCCTTTTTTTCTCCGTTTCTCTCTTTCTGGACATTCCTGCAGCGCTGTATTCGTTATTGTGTGAAGGAAGCAATAATTGCGACAGGTGTAGATGTGGCTCACAGGAAGGCTCTGGGCAGGAGGCAGACAGGGGGCACAGCGATGCTCCCCTGCTCTGTGTTCAGCCCCTTCCAAAGGGCTGTGAGGCCACTCATTTGGGGCAGCAGTGTGGTTATACCAGGGCCGGTCCCAGCCAGAGGTAAATCGGCAGCTTCCCTGGAGCTGTGTCCTCTGAAGTCCTCTTGCTGTTATCCTAAAGGTTTCCGGGGAACGACGCAGTGCTCCGGATCAGCCTTTTTTTAGGGCATTGCGCTGGTTGTGGGTGTATTTTAGGATAAAGCGTGGGAACAGAAGCGGTGCTGTGAGTACGGGCTGACCTTAAATGTAACGTAATGGATGTGCCCACAGTCTCCAGCAGCAGCATCGCTCCGTGAGGCTGGGATGAGCCTGGTCCCCACCTGCTGTGGCTGCGCAGCATCGGTGCCTCCATCCAGGGCTTCACCTCAGAGCAGGGCTGGGATGCAGGGGTGGGGGACCCAGACTCTGCACAGCAAGTCACACTCCAGGCTGCATGGGAGGGCACGCTGCCCTGAGCCCACAGCACAGAGGGGATTGTGGATGGGCTGCAGCAGCTGCCTCTGTCCCATAAGGGCACGGCGAGGTGAGCACTGCCTTCCCAATGTCAGCGTGACCCTGGCGCCTCTCCCTGGAGATGCTCCTTCGTCGTTCCGGTGCAGATGTTTCCATAGTCGAGGAGGCTTTTTCCATCCCCTTTCCACAGCTACATGAAGGGAAGCACAAAGCTCTGTACAGCCCTTCAGTTCCGCTCTGGCCCAGTGCTTGGTGCTCACTGAGCTGGGTGCCTCGTGCTGAGTGCCTCCAGCAGCCCATGTCCCCAGAGGTGGGTCTCTCAGAGGGGAGGCTTGCTGCCATAAATAAAATGAGAAGCCCCATTTGGACAGCTGGTGCATGTCCTTGGACTGGGGAGGTGATCGTCCCTCTGTAGTGGGCTCTGGTGACGCTGCACGTTGAGTGCTGTGTTGGGCCCCTCACTGCCAGAAAGACATTGGGGCCCTGCAGCGTGTCCAGAGATGGGCAGCAGAGCTGTGAGGGGTCTGGAGCACAAGTGTGATGGGGAGCTGCTGAGGGAGCTGGGATGGGTCAGCGTGGAGAAGAGGAGGCTCAGGGCAAACCTGACTGCTCTCTCCAAATCCCTGACAGGAGGTTGTGGTGAGGTGGGGGTCGGCCTCTGCTCCAGGTAACGGCGATAGGATGAGAGGTGATGGCCTCAAGCTGTGCCAGGGGACGGACAGGTTGGATTATCAGGAGGAACTTCTCTGAAAGAGTTGTGAAACAGTGGCGCAGGCTGTCCATGGAGGTGGTGCAGTCACAATTCCTGGAGGTGTTCCAGGTTCGTGGAGATGTGGCACTGAGGGATGTGGGCAGTGTGCATGGTGGGACGAGTTGGGGTTGGACAAGATGATCTTGAAGGCCTTTGCCAACCCTAATAGTTCTGTGATCCTTCACAGTCCACCTCCTGCTCTCCTGATGACCCAAGCTTGAAACATCTCCAGGGCACTTGCTCCCAAGGCAGACCCTCAGGGGACATCCCCCAGCAGACACAGCCCTACAGGCACTGTTCAGCTGCGGGCAGCCCTTGGCTGCAGCAGTTTGGTGTGCATGGAGCAAGGCTGGCTCTCAGCCTGAGCTCCACGGTATGCTGCACCTTCCCATGCTCATTTATCTCCTGCTAGCTCAGGGCTCTGCACCCGAGGCATCCACAGCTGCCTTTGCAATTACTTATTGATCACTTGTCAGGATGTTTTCTTTGCTGATGGGTCACTGAAGCATGTGCAGCCAAAGAGAGAAAAAAACCTTGAAAAACGAGGGAGCAAAGGTGTAAGGAGGGTGAGCAGCTCTGCACAGCTGTGATCTCAGCGAGAGGGCTTCAGCAGAACCACGGAGCTGATGGGATCTCCTTGCCAGCACCCTGCTGACTTACCTCCCCGGGGCAATGGGACTGCTGCACTTTGGGAGGAAGAGCCATAGCCATGGGGAAGCCCTTTGCGCAGCAGTCCCATGGGTCGGGAGCTGTGGGCACCTGGTGCCAGCCAGGCCTTGTCGGTGCCGGAAGGGGATTTACATCTTGATACTTCTTCGTGCTCTTTTACAGCCCCGGAGCAACTGCCACGGCAGATCAGGTTGCGGCGCACCTATTCCAGGCTCCATCTCGGAGCAGCTGAAAGCAGATCCTGCAGCTCAGAGATCCTTCTGTGCAACCTCCCAGAGCGCTGCACATTCCCAAGCGGGGAGACGGTGCCACCCCACCTGGGGTGGGAGTGGGGAGATGGAGGAAAGAGGCCGTGAATGTGCACTGGGCGCAGAGGGAGTGATGGAGAGAGGCGGAAATGGGCACGAACGTGTTTGGCAAATTAAAGCTTCTCCCTTTGTTTTGCTGCTTTGCAGATAGCTACAGGAACACTTAGCGCAGAGCCCAGGGTCTGGCTAAGCAACTCTTCTAGCAGCGGGAAAGGTTGTTAAATATTTATTTGTAAACCTGGAGTCTTTATCTCTAAAATGTAGTCAAGTTCAATAAAACTTGATTTAGCCGGAGCAGCTTCGAGGAGAGCGCCGACTCCGGGAGCTGCATCCCAGAAGCTCCGTGCAAAGGCGGTGGTACAGAGGAGGGGTTGAGCTGGGGGCTGACCCCCTGCCCACACCTATAGCCACAGCCCCACCCTCAGCCGTGCCCTCAGCCGTGCCCTCCAGCCCTGCTTTGGCCCTGCGCACCGTGGGGCCCCAGGGATTTGGCTCGCTCCGTCCTCGATTGCCTGCGTTGCTTGATGCTCTCGAAAGCATCTGGTTCAAGGGTGAACGTCTCACGCGCTGTAATTTATGAATGCCAGGTGGGCTTAGCGCTGACGCGGGGGTTTTGCTGCTCGTTTGCTGTCGGCGCAGCAGATTGCATGGTGCAGCTCCAGTCCCAGTGCTGGGCACCCTGCGGGCAGCAAGCACGGCACGGCTGGGGCGGGGAGGGAGCAGCACCTTGGGGTTGAGCCCAGGCACACGGTGGGGCTCCTCGGTGACATCCCAGGGTTGGTTTCTCTGGGGATGTTCCTCCTGTGTCCGTCACAGCAGCACACCCCGCTCACGTCAGCAGCCTGGCCCCAGAATAGCATCTTTCCTCCCAGCTCAGCGGGTACTGCCGCATTTAGCACCGTGCCCATGGGCCATCTGTGCCCCTCGGCAGCTCTCCCCCAGATGGGGCTGTGCCTCCGAGCTCCCCGTCCCCAGGCAGCGGGTGGCGAGGGTGGGTGCTGGATGCCATGTCTCTGGGCACTATTTTTTCCTTTGGTTTGCACTGATTTGATATTTGTGTGATGCTAGTGATTCCGGCAGCTGCTCCCTTCTTATCGATTCACTTTCTATGTTGGTGCCAGAGGGCTGCAGTGCTCCCCAGCTGGTACCAGCTCGTGCATCGTAGCCATCAGCCCCGATCCCAACTGAGCACTTGGAGTGGGGGTTCAGGTGCTGCAGGGTCAGGCAGGGTTCAGGGTCTGCCTTGTGGCATGCCTGGAAGGGCTGCACCTACTGCACGGCCCAATGGAGCCATGGAGGATTCCACAGCACACAGCCCAGACGGAACTCAGCCTGCCATGCCAAAGCCTGCTGGGCTCCAAGATGGTGCTGGTGGATGGTTTTATGCCCGTCCAGGATCGCTCATCCTGAAACCTTAACCTTGCAAAGAAATGCTGAATTTATTTTTCTGCATCAAAAGTTATACTTATGCCATCTAGCTCTATGAAATGATGCATATAAACAGACACAATTAAAGTAACGCACAGAATGTATACCAGGCCCATAAATAGTGCTGCAGTAGGGAAAGTAATGGACAGTGCATGTAATGAGGGATATAAAGCAATGCAGCAATAGACATAAATAGTGTTGGTAGAAGCGATGCAGAGCCTACACATAACAATAGATATAAACAAAGTCCAGAGTAGCTGCTCATCTCATTTGTAACATTAATATGATTTGATTCCTCATAGCAGCTTACACAATAAGGGAAGGAATGCCTTGGAGGCAGTGAGGGAGAACTCCTTTCTGTCCCAATCCTGGACAGGAGCTGCCCATACAGTGTCCAGGGAAGGCCACCAGTGCTCCCAGGACAGGCAGCAGAGGGCCTCACAGAAGGCCTGGAACCAGGAAATGGTGAGCCTGGAAGAAATGCAGCCCTGAAGTTGGCTGACCACAAGCTGTGTTTTGAGATCATCACTGAGGGATGCTGTACCCGATGAAGCACAAATTTCCTACGCAGCCACAATCTGCAGAGTCACAGTGCATAAGGGGAGCTGGCCTCTTACAAGACCCCCAGTGTCTTAGATGCTCTTGCACAATGGCCCCATGTAGGGACACTCAAAGCACACCTTCTGTCTTAGAGATATATATGAGGGCCCCTATGTAGCTGCGTGCAAAGTGCACTCAGTGTCTTAGAGACAAGAGCTCGATAGCCCCTATATAGGGGCACACAAAACACACCCAGTGTCTTAGGGGGGGGTGTGTAGGAGCCCCTCTATCAGGCTGCACAAAGTGCCTCAGAGGAGTCCCTATCCGGGGGTGTGCAAAGGATACCCAGTGTGTTAGAGGCAAGAGCTCTATGGTCTCTAACAGCGGCAGTGAGTGTGCCCAGTATCTTAGAGACACACACAGAGCAGTCCCTCTATAGAGGCACACAAAGCACACCCAGTGTCAGAGGCACGTGTGTAACAGCTGCTGTATAAGGGCTTGCAAAGTGCTCCTGATGTCTTAGAGGTGCACAGACGATGTGTAGGGGCATGCACCTCTATATAGGAGCATGCAGAGCACACCCAGTGTGTTAGCTGTGCGCTCACAACAGCTCCCTGACATGGTGTGCCATCTCTTGCCCGTGTGTGAGAAGCCTTCCCGTTGTCTTAGTGTGTGGTGATCCCTCTCCCTGCTGTGTTCCAGCCTCACACCGGCCACTGACCAGTGTCTCATCTGGTACTTTTTGAGGATTCTGAAATCAAAGTGCCAACAGAGTTCTCACCTTGTTAGGTGGTAGATAATGTCACCTCTACCGGGACGGTAAACCGCCTTCCTCGTTTTTGCGCAGTGTTTGCTCACCTCCACCTTTTCTCTTTCTCTGCCCTGTGTTTTGCAGGTGAGAGATAGGATGTTAGCTGGGGAGGCGAGTATGCGCAGCCCAATCCTGGCCTGCTGGCAGCCAATTCTCCTCCTGATGCTGGGATCCATCCTGTCCGGCTCTGCCACGGGCTGCCCTCCGCGCTGCGAGTGCTCTGCCCAGGAGCGTGCTGTGCTGTGCCATCGGAAGCGATTCATGGTCGTCCCGGAGGGGATCCCGACGGAGACCAGGCAGCTAGACTTGGGTAAGAACCGCATCAAGACGCTCAACCAGGATGAATTTGCCAACTACCCTCACCTTGAAGAGCTGGAGCTAAACGAGAACATTATCAGTGCCATTGAACCTGGGGCTTTCAACAACCTCTTCAACCTCAGGACGCTGGGGCTCAGGAGTAACAGACTCAAGCTGATCCCCTTGGGGGTGTTTACTGGACTCAGCAATCTTACCAAGCTAGACATTAGTGAGAACAAAATTGTGATCCTCCTAGACTACATGTTCCAGGACTTGTACAACCTGAAGTCTTTGGAGGTAGGGGACAACGACCTTGTCTACATTTCCCACCGGGCCTTCAGCGGCCTCAACAGCCTGGAGCAGCTGACCCTGGAGAAATGCAACCTGACCTCCATCCCCACGGAGGCCCTGTCTCACCTGCACGGCCTGATTGTGCTGCGGCTGCGCCACCTGAACATCAACGCCATCCGGGATTACTCATTCAAGAGGCTGTACAGGCTTAAGGTCCTCGAGATCTCACACTGGCCCTACTTGGATACCATGACATCCAACTGCCTGTACGGGTTGAACCTGACCTCCTTGTCCATCACCCACTGCAACCTGACGTCCATCCCGTACGTGTCGGTGAGGCACTTGGTTTACCTCCGCTTCCTGAACCTGTCCTACAACCCCATTGTCACCATCGAGGGCTCCATGCTCCATGACCTGCTCAGGCTGCAGGAGATCCAGCTGGTGGGAGGGCAGCTCACCACGGTCGAGCCCTTTGCCTTCCGTGGCCTCAATTACCTGCGCATCCTGAACGTGTCAGGAAACTTGCTGACCACTCTGGAAGAGTCGGCCTTCCACTCGGTGGGCAACCTGGAGACGCTCATCCTCGACAACAACCCCTTAGCCTGCGACTGTCGGCTGCTGTGGGTTTTCCGACGGCGATGGAGGTTGAACTTCAATAAGCAGCAGCCCACCTGCTCTACCCCCGAGTTCGTCCAGGGCAAGGAGTTCAAAGACTTCCCTGACGTCCTCCTGCCCAACTACTTCACCTGCCGCCGGGCTCGGATACGGGACCGCAAACCTCAGCAGATCTTTGTGGACGAAGGCCACACGGTGCATTTTGTCTGTCGGGCAGACGGGGATCCGCCACCCGCCATCATGTGGCTTTCTCCCCGGAAGCACCTCATCTCGACCAAAACCAACGGGCGGCTCACTGTCTTCCCTGACGGCACGCTGGAGGTGCGCTACGCTCAGATCCAGGACAACGGCACCTACCTATGCATTGCCAGCAACGCGGGTGGCAACGACACCATGCTGGCCCACCTGCACGTGCGCAGCTACTCCCCAGACTGGCCCCACCAGCCCAACAAGACCTTCGCGTTCATCTCCAACCAGCCCAACGAGAGCGATGCCAACAGCACACGTGCCACCGTGCCTTTTCCCTTTGACATCAAGACTCTCATCATCGCCACCACCATGGGCTTCATTTCTTTCCTGGGCGTCGTGCTCTTCTGTCTGGTGCTCCTCTTCCTGTGGAGCCGGGGGAAAGGCAACACCAAGCACAACATTGAAATCGAGTATGTGCCACGCAAGTCTGACGCAGGCATCAGCTCTGCCGACGCACCGCGCAAATTCAATATGAAAATGATTTAACCAGGCAACAATTTGCAAATAGTTTTGGTTGGCATTGTTTTTTTTTGGTTGTTGTTTTTTTTTTTGTTTCCTTTTTTTTTTTTAAAAAAAAAAAAGAGAACATATGAACAAATAAAAAAATAATTTAAAAACATTGGTACAAACATACCGACCTCTCTCCTTCCACCACGCCCTCCGTCCCAGTCCAAACTCTCTGCACCCGCACCGTCACCACCTCTTTCTCCTCCTCTTCTTCTTTATACCAGGAAAACATTCAGCCGATGTCTTCAGGACTCCTGTGTTTGTAAGGACTTTGTCTGATGGACTCTGGTGTCAGATATAATTCTGAGAGGGAAAAACAACAAGGGGGGGGGAAAATAAACTAAAAAAAAAAAAAAAAAAAAAAAAGAAAAAAAAAAGAAATAAAATCAATAAAAAGTTACAAACTTTCTTCTGTAACTTTGATTTCAATAATTATGAATTTTTATGAAAACTTGAAATAATAAAAAACCCTATTTCCTATAGATAGTTGGAATGCAAAATCTTGACTTCTGTATCTCTGGCGACTGCTCGGTTTCTCCCCTCTGGAGCTGTGGTCTCGGAGGCACTTTCCAGGACGTACTTTCCAGCCATCTTGCACAGAACAGCCCCAGGCAGTGACTCTCCTGCTGACATCGAGGGCTCACGCTGCCCAGAAAAGACACTTTCCTGGTGCCCTAGGCCCTGCGCAGCGCACCCGGAGGAATTCAGCTTCTTTGCCGAGGACCGGTTGTATTTTTACAGCCAATTCCCAAATGCCCATCAGAGTGGTGAGCGCAGCCCTCAGAGCCCAGGGGAGCAGGGCCGAGTCTCTGATGTGCGTAAGGAGCACACAGCAGGGCTGTCTGCCTGCCCTCTGCGTGCAAAGACTGAAAGCCCCAGTGCAGATGGGGATGCCTGGGGCTCCGTGGGAGAGGATTGTCTGCCCGCCGTTGCCAGCAGCACAGTTGTCTCTCCTCTCCAATGGACATCGTTCCCCACAGGCAGGGATGCTGCAGTGCTATAGCACAGGCAGGCAGTGCCCTGCTGCAACCCGGCCTTGCAGCACCCAGCAGCACAAGCAGTGATGGGTCCACTGAGGTTTCCTTCCTGCAGTGACTCTCACAGAGGATTTGGGCGCATGACAGCTGGCAGTCAGACTTGCAAGCACCCTCAGGCACGTCCGAGGGAATTTGGCTTCCAGGCTCGTCTGGAAATATGAAATTACACACATATATAAATAAACACGGACACGGACACGCTGCCTGAGCCAGGGGGGAACAGGCCCGGGGCTGCAGCATGGAGGTGGGGCAGACTGCCCTGATGCTGCTGTGGGTCGCCTATCACCATGGTGTGTCAGGAAGAATTTCTTCTCAGAAAGAGTTGGTGATGCACCGAAACAGGCTGAGGTGGTGGGGTCACCCTGGAGGTGCTCCAGAACCGTGGAGATGTGGCACTGAGGGATGTGGTCATTGGGCATGGTGGGGTGGGTTGGAGTGGGACGGGGGGATCTTAGAGGTCTTTTCCAACCGTAATGATTCTATGATTCTTCTATAGTGTCAGTGGCACCTCAGGGGATGAGCCCAGATTTGCATGCTTGGCTTGTAAAGCACTTAAGGAGTCTTTGGGGATCAAAGTCACTACAACATGATAAAAAATAAGCAAAAGGAACCTGGAGTGCCGACAAAGAAAAGAATGGATTTTCTTTTCTTCCAGCGATGTGCTAATCTAGGAAAAACAACCTGAAACATCTGTGCTCATGGGAAGAGGGATTTTTTTTGCTGGTTTCAGCTTTCCATTCACCTTGAAACAAAACATTTTGCATTTCTTTCTCCACAGCAGGCTTCAGGAGCTTCATGTTTTAGCTTCTCATCATCTCTAACCCATCCTCCCTTTTCAGTTTTGAAACCCAACTATTTTTAAAGCCGTTTGCTTTGTGTTTTGCTTTTTGAGAGAGTCAAAACACAATGGCTTTTTGCAGGCTCTCCCTCCCACCAGTGCTTAGACACCATTTGCAGTGATCCAGGAGTGAACCCAAGGTAACAAACCAGAAGTGCCCGCGGCTCCATGTGCTGCAGTGGCCAATGGATGGATGCAGTCGTGCTCCCTGGAGATGAGGAGCTGTGCCCAGCACCACTGTGGACCGTGCTCTGCCCCACATGGGGTGTGCACATTCCTCTGCCCAAGCTGTGCCAGGATGATGGTGACAACTCAATTGGCAGTTCAACAGACACCAGGAGGGTGGAGGGGTTTCCATGTTCCTGGGCAGCTATTAACACTGCCGGTTTGAAAGAGCTTTTTAATTGACTCGTTATCCCTTTTAATGCCATAATTAAAAGAGCTAATTCAACACACAGAGATTTAAAAAATAATAATAATAATAATAATGCTAACAAGCAAGTCCAGCAAGGTATTTGCAGCGCACAGCAGTATCCTAGCAATCAAAGGGAAGGAATCAGGTCTTAAAAGGGAGCTTTAGGAAAGAAGAGAGACTATGACTTCTGCTCTGTCCTGCAGCCCTCTGCCCCTTCCCAGGCACCCAAACACCCTGAGCACACAGCTGGGGGTGTCCCCAGGAGAGCCACCCCCATCCTCATTAGCTGCCCCCCTGTCAGTGCACCATCCACTTTTTTATCTTTGATGCTGTGAGCTGGATCATTTCTTTTTCTCAGTCGCCGGGTGATTAAAGCAGATGGATGGAGCAGGAGAAAAGCATTTTAGAAGGGCCAGCATCTCAGATCAGCAATTTTCATGGCCATAAAGATGGGGAGGAAAAAAAAAATAGAATAAACTCTTTCTCTCTCTCCTTTGCTGAAATTTACAGTGTGTTTCTATTGCAGTTTAACCAGTTGAGAGCAGGGGCTGACTGCCAGCACTGCTCATCAGGTAACCATGGGCTGTGCAGCACAGATAGATGCTTTTCACTTTATTTTTTTTTTATAAGGATAAATACAAAGCTTTATAAAACAATGTAAAAAAAACAGGAAGAGGTGTGCCTAGGGCATGGAGGAGCTGCCCAGCTCCTCGTGGCCTTCCCATTTCTATCAGGCTTTATCACTACCCCATTTTTTTGCTCTGTTCCCACTAACTGCCTTCCTCTCTTCTCTCTCCTTCAGTCAATCGTTGACTTTTTCCCCTTTTCCTCGTTATCATTCTGTGCACCTCTCTCCCTGCTGCCATTCCTCTATCCATGCTCTCCTTGCTCTCCATGATCTCCTCTCATCACACACCTCCCCCTCTGCTTCTCTGTGGGTCCCATCCTGCACCCTGTGCATGGAGAGGATGCTCCATGTCCTTCTTGTACTGGGGGCCCCAGGCCTGGACACAGTACTCCAGATGGGGCCTCACAAGGACAGAATAGAGGGGGACAATCCCCTCCCTGCCCACTGCCACTGCTCTGTTGATGCAGCCCAGGATGCCCTGGGCCTTCCAGACCCAGCACACTGCTGGATCATGTTCAGTTTTTGTACACCAATGCCATCATTCCATCATAGAAAGATGGGTCAGGCACAATCTGCCCTTGGTTAAGCCACACTAGATGCCTCAGATCACCTCCTCGTCCCTCACGTGCCTTAACATCTCTTTCAGGAGGATCTTCTCCATGATCCTCCCAGTCTGTAGTTATTCAGGTCTCCCTTTCTTAAAAATGGGAATGAAGGTCTCCCCCATCCTGCCCCATCCACTGCTCCCACCTCACCACTCCTCACTATCTACATGCCCCCTAGCCCTGCCCAGCTCTCTGCCAGGCCATGCCCTGTAGCCCGTGGCACCTGACTCTGCAGGATGGCACAGAAGGGCCCTGCACATGTGGGTGAGCACCTTGGAGGAGGTGGGGGCTGCAGTGCTGCTCCACCCTGAAGCCCTGCTCCTCCGGACCCCAGCACCAGGCCTATGGCTTCCTTCTCTATTTTCTGGGTCCCTATCTGCTTGCTTACGATAGATTTACTGCAATTCTACTGCTTTATGATTAAAAGCCATAAATTTTACTGGGCCTTTTTCTTATTTTCCATAATCTTCAGGATTCAAGGCAATCAAATTTTAACTGGAAAGCATGGGCTGTGCAGTTAGGTCCCACTGTAATGGGGAATGGTTCATTTCCCAATCCACCTTCATTACTGAGCTACTAAAGAAATATTGCCCCGTGAAGGGGATTTTTCCTCTTTCCCTTTAAAACAATGCACTCAGCTGAGCCAAGGATCAGAGGAGCAGTGTGAACCTCAACAAAGTACAGCGTTCCCCCCCACTGCACCTGAGGTTTCCGGGCTGTTTCCTGGTGGACTCGGGCAGTGCTGTGGGTCTCTGTGTGCCCAGAGCAGGGTGCAGGATGGTGGCAGCGGGTCCCATCAGCAAGCAGCTCCGCAGACTTCATCATGTGCCTGTTACAATCCAGGTAATGAGACATTTCGGTCAAATGAGCTAATTTATTCCAGTGGCACTTTAATAACAAAATCAATAAAACTACACTTCCCAGCAGGGCTTTTTCATATGCTAAAGCTTCAGCATATCGCCTGGATATTCTAAATTCTCTCCTTGAAATAAAGTGCAAAGTTTAGAAGACAGATGACACCATTTGCAGCACTAGCAGGATAATGCCCTAATAAATCCAATGCCACCTGGGCACTTTGGAGCTGTCACACACTGCGTGTGGTGGCCACACGTTCCAATGACGTTCAAAAGCAGCAGCTCAGATCAGACAAGACACCTCCCTTCTCCCTGCCCTCCCACCTCACCATCCCCCCAATAACCCTATGCTGCTTTACCACCACTCCCCACACCCAGCCATGCCGATGTCCCCCCAGTTCCCCCTCCCCTCCTTGTCCCTCCAGCTCGTGCTTCCTGAGCCTATCAGTGCTCCCCAGCCCTGAGAGCTGCAAAACCAATTAGCTCACTACAAAGGCTGAGAAATAATTAGGGACTCCAACGAAAGCACAAAACTAGGGCATCTCGCCTTAAATAACTGCCAGGAAGTCTCTCTGCGCTGACGATACCCTGCAATTGCCTCAAGCAGCTGATCAGCCTGCTTGCTGTCCCTCAGCTCCCAGCCCAGCCATAATCACTGAAGGTGTCTCGGTCTCCAGCTCATCCCTCCCACAGGTGCATGTGCTCTGCTGCTCCCAGGCACTGAAGCAGGCAGGCAGCCCCATGCAGATGTGGGCGCTGCTGGTTTGAGCGCTGCCATTCAGTGGTCCTCCAGCTCAGGTTTTCCCTGGGGGAGCAGCAGGGGAAAGCAAGCACTGAGCACAGTAAATATTTTGGAAGAAAAACAGTTGTTTGCAACATTTCTTATCCACTTGCCTCCAGGATATTACAGAAGTTGTTTCCCTATGCAGCACTAGTGCACTCATCCCATCTCACCCCATCCCACCCTAATCCCACCCCACCCTATAGCATCCTATAGCATCCCATAGCATCCCACTCTACCACCTCCCATCCCATCCCATCAAACCCACCCCACTCACCCCATCCCATCCCATTCCATCCCATTTTTTTCCTGCAGGAGAGGGAGCACAGAGCAGAGCCTCTGACATTCCCTGTGCCCCATCTCCCTGCTGCAGCAACAATCCTCCGCCAGCTGTTGTCTGCGCCTGAAGTTTTGTCACTTATTAATGGTATTTAATAACAACCTGACACTCAGCCCTGCGTTTCACTCAGCCCTGTGACAGTGCCTCATGTCCCCAGCCATTTGTGGAGGAGCCCTGCAGAAAAGCCTCCCTGGCTCCTGCTCCCTCCGAGCCTGGCCTGGCATGCAGCACATCTCTTGGACTCAGCACTGGTATTTTGCTGAGCCCAACATGGAAGCAGAGCACCCTCCTCCCCTCAGCCCACTCCTGCTGTCATTGCTTTGCTGAGAGCACTGTCAGACAAAGTGTGGAAGAACATGTTCTCAGCATGGGCACAGACAGCAAAGGCCCTCAGGGACACTGACCATGACACTGTAACCCCTGCCCTCATGGGGTTTTTCCTAGTCTGGCACTAACAACTCCACATCCAGGCTCAGCTTCTTCTCGCTAGCCCAAAGTGGTGAGAGATCGTGTGCCCAGCACCCACAGGAGGTTCCCTTACTTTATCCAAGGACATAAGCTTGGGGAAGACGAAGAACTCCACCCTTCCTTGCATCTGGGTTTCAGGCTGGGGAAGGTCTGCATCCTGGAAGGGCCACACTGAGTCACCCGGGCATGGCCCCAGCAGAGGGAAGGCTGAGGCAAGTACTGCATAACTCTAATAGCCCTCCTGCACCATCCTACCAGCCTCAGGCAAACGGAGGTGAGAGAGTTTCTGAGCCACGCTGTCTCTGCAGCATTTTCTGATTAGTCCTTAACAAACCTTTCTTCCTTGAAGTCATTTGATTGCATTTTTTAATCTACTTACGCCCCTGGCCTGCAGCAGCAGCAGTAGCAGTGCGTGCCACCCTCAACGTCTGCACAGTGTTTGCTTTATATCAGCCACCCAGCCCCGTTTCTCAGATTCATCCCTGCATGGCTGCACCAGAGCCCCATGGAGGGCTTTGCGAGCAGCTCAGCCCTACACCCTGTCCAGCAGTGGGGCCGTTCTCCTTCTTGGTGCTGCAGGGAGAGCTGAAGAGCAGCGTGTCTCCAGGTCCATGCACCCAGAGCTGTCAGAGCGTCCATGCTGTCAGAACCTGAGCAATAGCCACCAAAGCATCTCCTAAGGAGCAGGAGTGTGGTGAGGAAGAAGAGACACGTGAGGTCACCTCAGATGAACAAACTGCCCTGCCTGGTGACCTGCACCTAGGAGGATCTGGCACTGGTGCCTTCGAAGGGGACAGATGGCTGTTCTGAAAGAACAGAGGGGGTGTAGATCTGTGCACAACCAGGAGATTCCTCCTGGCACGAGGCCCTCACAGATGGATGCTCCAGGAAGCAAGCAGATACAGATTTATCCTGCAGCACAAGCACGGCTTTCTTTTCTTCAAACACACACCTAATCATTTTGAAGATCTCTGCTTCAGAACTATCTTTTTGATAAAACTAATCACAGGCTTAAATTACAGATAAATACCCGATATTAAGAGAACAGTCTGAGAAGGAGGAAAGGGGTAGTTTAACCATGCTCATTTTCCTTGCTTTTCTATAGCACACATCTCGGGCTATTTAACCGTAGAGCTCAGTAAGCTTCATTTTGACAACTCTCCTTTCTTCACAACGTGGCTTCCACCAATGTTTCCCCGGTTCCTTTACCCACTGTGCTTCTGTTGGCTGTATTACTGCAGCAGTCGCTGTATCTCCAGCCCAGAGTGGGAAGTGGGCAGGCAAAGAGCTGCATCAGCACACACAAAGGAAAAAACCCATTGCTGAATAGGCTGGACCCAAAGGCTGGCTGCTCAGCCTGCAGGAGAGCTTCGGCTCTGGGTGCCTTCAGCTCCTGCACGATCCAGGCTCACAAACGCACGCTGCCTTCCTCTGCTCTGTAGGGGAACAATGGCTTTGATCAACAGAAGATTGCTGAGTTAATTGTAATGATATTCTAATAAAGCTGGGGAGATTAATTACGGCTCTTTATCAGAGCTGGCCCTTCGCCAAGGGTTCGCAAAATTGTTTTCCTCTGTTTCCTGTCATTTGAATTTAGGAGAAGAAAGAAGGAAGGTGGGTGCCTTTTTTTCTCCAGCAATCAGGATGGTGGCCTTGTGCCCCAGTCACGCTCACAGCTCAGTGCATTCGAGCAGGGGAACGGGGAGGGGGGAGAGTGCAGCAAGAAAGCAAATGGAGAGCGACAGAGCAAACCAATTAGCCATGATGCAGCACAATTACACTCCCAGTCAATAAGTGGCTTGGTGCAGAGAAGTACAAAGGAAGGCGGTGACAGCACACGGAGCAGACATCACTCCACGTGGGGCACATGGCACCTCTCCAGGACTGGGGGGGCAAAACACATTTAGTGCTCCCCCAGAAGGGCTCACAGCAGTGGCACCAACACTGAGCAGGATGAAGGAAGCTCTTTCCAGAAAAGCTTTGCAGCCTTGCTTGTCACTCCGCCGCACAAAGCAGGTGTCCAGAGACAGCCAGAGCCCTGCTAAGTGGCCTTGGGGCGCGTGAGGCTCAGACCTTCCTGTTTTCCTTGACAAATTGCTGTTCCTTTCAGGGAAGATTTAGCAGTGCCCAGGCAGGTGAGAGACAGAGCTGCAGAGGGATGATCCAGGCTGAGGACAGCAGATAACCAGGCAGAGCTGCCAGCTCACTCCCCAGGGAGAGGAGGAGATGAGGCCCTTCCTGCAGCGGGTGTACATGGGGTGTGCTGAGGAGAGAGACAGTCTGGGAAGGAAATGTGCTCCTCATCCAGCAGAAAGAAAGATGAGGATTGAAACAATGTCACTCACTTTCAAGCAGCATTGGAATACTTCCTGTAGACGGTCAGGGCTTGCTGCTGTGAGGACAAATGCCACCATCTCATCCACAGCCTCCAGCTTGCCAAGACACACAGCTGCTCCAGGTGTATTTTCCTGAATGGCTCTGGGAAGATGACACATTGCTGCCGCTCAGGAAGCACGAAGGCAGGGTGGGAGTCTAGATTCAACTGCGTGTTATTATTCCTGTCAAACAGAACATCCCCCTACACACACACAGCCCAAAATAGCTGCTTCCAGCTTGCTCTCCATCTCCTGTGCTCTTCCCAAGTCTAACCAAAAGGCACAAGGCTGCGTGACTTTGGACATGGGCAGAACAGCCCTTTGGCAGCAGCCTCAGCAGAAAGGGTGCTGTGACACCGTTGTTGTGCTAAGGGAAAGAAGCTCTGGTGCCACTCCATGCAGAGGTTTGTGCATCAGAGACATCCCTGTGCAGGAGCAGCCCTGTGTGGCCCCGCTTTCCTCGCAGCAGAGGAGCTGGCACGCAGCACGGTGCTTTCTGCTGACCCCTTCCACTGCCAAGTACAAGGCATAACATTCATCTCTGGTTGTTGAAACACAGCCTGAGCTGGGTGGCACACAGCCACGCTGCTGTCTACCATGAAAGTGCCGCGGGCCAAGTTTGGCCAGGGTGTGAATGAAAGGGAGAGGATGCATACAGAGCACCCAGATGCATTCGTATGGGCTCAACACTTCATAGAGGCATGGAATACCCTGAGTTAGAAGGGACTCATAAGGGCCATCGAGACCAACCAAAAATTAGACCAGAATTTGCCATCAGCATTCAGGGAGCACCAACCTCTGCATATAGTGTGGCCACCTGCTGCCTTTCCAAAGCACCAGAGGTACACTGCTCCTGCTGAAGGACCAGACCAGGACCGCAACATCCACAGGGTGTGAAAACAGAGAGCAAAACAGGGTAAAAATAGGGTCTGTGTTTGTTCCATCACTCTGGTAACAATGTTCATTAGGGTTTTCAATGACCCATCAAACTATCTAGCATCCTAAATGTTT